AAACCTTGAGTCATCATCTTGTAAGTGTGTTTATGTCATTATAGTCTGATTGCTATCAGGTCTGTGAATATACACTACTAGAATCAAGGGGGAAAATGAAGAATCATAAAAGTGAACATCAAAACTTATTTTCAGTTTTTAATAAACATTCACTTCATAAAGCTGTCACAGACACTGCTTGAGACAGAAGTCAGAGGAGGGAGGGTCCTACTGCTTCTCGAATTGCCCTCCCAATGAGGAAAATATGAAATTTTTGCTTCACATACTCCCTGTGATTAAAAAAAAAAACCAAAACACTGGATATCCCCAATGCCCGATTTTATGTTGTATTGCATAATCTTCAAGTTTGAACATTCAGACAATTGTATTCTCTGGTGGCCAAAAACTAGACACAGTTGACAGTTGCTTGAAAATACAGAGAAATCTGTATTTTAGTTATTTAGTTATTTAGTCTTAAACTACAGAAAATTACATAATAGTCAATAGTGCAATTTCTCAAAGATTAATGTGAGTTTCTGTCTGTACCATAAACCAATTAAGTCAGATAGAGTAACATGAGTGAAGAGCTGGCCACAGCTATAAAACAGAGACATTCACCTTGGGATTTTTCTCATGCTTCAGCAGAAATGCTTATGGTATCCATAAAAAAATATTTCTATCATGAATTTAGTCAGCACCTTGGCTTGGTGGAGGGGAGTAGGAAAACGTAAAACCATTGAAGTTATCCATTGCCACCTGGGAATGAGTGCTTAAGACCAGATGTGTGTTCATTCACTACCTTCCTTGGAGGAATGCCTGGGTCACCCCATATGTCACCTATCAGTGGATCATCGGGGCAAGAGGAGGCTCTTGAATTGCATGAGAGCTGTCCCTTAAACACACGCTTTGCTCTTGGACTGCCTCTGTGACAGGGGCCTGCATGGACTCTGCTGGATGACCCTCATTATGCTGCTCCATGGGTCAGGACCAAATAGCAGATACCGCTAATGAACAAGGGACCAAAATGGTTAAGGCTGTGCTGACTTCCAAGCGCCTCCCTGAAACATGGGCCCTCAAGCCTGTCTCCATTGCAATTCCTGCCTTCATTAATACCGCCCACAGACTCGACTCACAAACCCAGTGCTGATGACCACAAAGTCCTCATGCCCTCCCCACACTTCTGAACCACTGAAGCATCTGTTTCTTCATCACAGGCCCCATTTGTGGGAGAACTTTTTAAAGTCTCTACTCCTCAGAGGCTGCTTCTTTCTGTGCTCAGTTCATAAGGAAATGCCCCGAAACGCTAGCCTGACAGCCGGTTGGCATCTCCTGAGGAATGTGTGAACCGTGCCGGCATATGCCCCCTGAGGCTTGCTCAGTCTCTCTGGGCATTTCAGCAGTTGTTCTGAAGGCTGAGGGTGTTTATCTCCCACAGGCAGCTGAGCTGCCTCCCGTTTCATGAGCAGAGCAGTGGAATGCGGTGGAAGAGACCCAGGCCTCCGGCCACCCAGATTAGAGAGTTTTGTGCTGAGGTCCCTATATGGTTGTGTTAGACTCCACAGAGGGCTTGAGTCTGTCTTTGTTCCTTGTTTGGGAAGCCAGTGGGAGGGGAACAGGCCAAGGGGCTATATAACCCTCCAGCCTTCAGCTTTCCAGAACACCACCCAGAGCGGAGAAGCCCAGCTGAGCACTTTCAGGGTAAGTGGCACCGGCCCAGAGATGTGGCTTAGATTCCAGCAGCTCTGACATTTCCCAGTGTAATCAGATGTCATCTATGGAGATTTTAGCCAGACTCACACACTCAGAAATGTTTGAATGAAGATTGTACTACTAACATGATTGTAACCTTTAGCTATAATTATCTAATCTCAAAAACAAAGCTAAGATGCAGCCTGTGTGGGGGAGGAAGGGGAGAGGGAGATGGAATGAAATCTATGAGTGTCACCTGCAAAATTTGTTTATACTAAACCAGCAGCCCCGGTCTTGCAGTATATTTCAGAGGTGCAGTCTAGCTGTCTGCAGTCAGCTACATGATGATGTATATTTAGATCCTGGAAACTCCAGTATCTGCTTGTGGTTCAGATTTGGTATGGGGATTTTTCACTGGACTGTACATTTGGTGCAACTACGGTGTCTGACAGTGGATTTTAGAACTGAACAGAGGTTAGTTGCCTAGCCTTTGATATTGGCTCTTTGTGTATTTGCATCTGGGTTCCTCTGGCTCTCATTGGTGGTGTCTTCTATGGGAAAGTCTCTTGAGTGTAACCGTGAGCTTGCAGTTCAGAGTATATGCGTCTCCCTTGGTTGGTTTGCAGCAGAGCATAGCAGGAACCCAACTGAATCTTGGTGAATAAAGAGGGAGGGAGCTTGCATGCAACTGACAGCTGTTTGCATGTCAGCCTATGGGATGGTTTGCATTTCTCAGCCAGGCGGGACCACGGAGCCAGCCTCGCCACCCCAGGCTGATCGTCACTGTGAATCAGGGTTTGGCAGCTCCTGCACCGACTGGGGTTTTCACGCTAAGATTTTTCCTTCCATTTTGTGATTCATGACTAAATATGGTTTGTGTTTCAAGACCGTGGAGCTGGGAACTGCAGTGTTCCCCTCCCACTAACTCCTCATTTTTGGCACGAGATGCACTCCAGTCAGTTGGAGCAAACCCCCCTGACCTGGGTGCCGTTCCAAGAGCAGACATTCTAGTGGGTTTTACCTAATTAGGAAATGCTTTGCTCCAAACCCAGCTGCTCATCAGGTTAGATAAGAGTTGTAAACCATTAAGCCAGCTTCTTTCTGGGGCATACAGATTTCTCTAACGACAGTGCTTGGTTTAGAGATTTAAAAATTCTTCCTAGACATCTTTTTTTTTTTTTTTTGGTCAAATAAAAGCACATTTACTAAATTTTGAGATTTTCTTTTTCCTGCATATTGAGCGTACAATCTATTTTTTTCTGCAGTGCATTCTAACACTCCCCCAAACCTTTCTCGCCCAAGGAAAGGGTTACTAAAGACGTGTATTCCTGGTGTCCACACCATCACATTTTCAAAGTCTTCTAATTCTGAATATTTCATCCTGTTTTCAGCTCTTCTTTTGATTTGGAAGCTCTGCTTAGCACATCCAGAGAGGGTACTGATCTGGTGCTGGCCACTTCTGACACTTGCCTTGGACTGCTTCTTCTGTGTCGTCTCCCTAAATTTCTCACCTCTCTTCTTACTTCTTGATCTGCTAGGAAGGAAGCCAAGTCACATGACTGCCAAACACACTTCAGTGTCTGGAAAGGGAAAGGAAGGGTGGGAAAGGAAAGAGTCAGCCACTTATAAGTTACATTTTCTATTTTTACAAGTAGAATCTACAAGTTGAAGGTCTCTGTCCTAAGCCTGGAAGTAGTGTGGAAAGGAAGCCAAGATTAAAAATAAAAAGATCTGGATAATGATAATAATCACACAATAATTATAATTTAAATTAATAATTTAAAAATAGTATTTACTGAGAATTCATAATGTATATGCCACTATCAATTATTTTAAATGCTTTAAAATATCTAATCCCCATAAGACTCTATGTACTACACATGGATTTTATTGTTCTTTCATAAATGGATAAAGAGACTGATTCAGAGATATAACTTACTAAATCACATAGCTTCTAAATGGCGAAATCCACACTCAAATCCAGGCAGTGAGACTCCAGAGTCCAAGACCATAATCATCGGGTGCTGTAATCTCTGCTGTCCCAGCTTTACCAATTTTGAGATCTGGACAAGTCACTTCAACTCCTTGAGTCTTGATTTCCTTGTCTGTCAGTTGGCAATGATAGTACATGTCCTGGATTTTAAGTTATGTCCTCTCAGGTGAGGTTCATGTTTTTTCGTAAATCACTTCCCCTGAGTTTTCTCATTTGTAGAAATGAGGGTATTAAACAAAAATGTTCTCCAATAAGCCTTCAATTTCCTAAATATTTAAGTTGTTCCTTTTGCTCCAAACTTCCAAATTTTGTCATGGGATTCAAGCTTAAATGTGGGATATTTAAAATACTGTTTTCTTACGGAAAGAATATATGCTCAATTTATTTAGAAAATATTACAGAAGCCAGGGTTTCATGTAAAACACCTAGAATATCCACTTCAAAAATAATCCCCATCAACATCTTGGTAAATATGATTAATCTTTTTCTAGTGCATAACAATACATTTTAAATGGGATCATACAATGCATACCTCTAGCCTAGTATTAGATAAGAATGACCTGTAACTTATCCTTTTATTTATGTTTCTGAATGACAATAGAACATTCTACTGCATGATATGTAATTTTTTGGACTCACTCTACCTTGTTGGACTTAGAGGTTAGCAGTGATTTTTATTAATGGAATGACTGTGACCCCTAAAATTTTAAGCACCTCCATAAGCCATTTTGGTTGGTTCCTCAGGGCTTTAATTTTACCCTTGTGTAAAATTAAAGTCCCCAGGATCCAAAAGAGAATATTCTTTTAAACAATTTTTTACATGAAACGTTTCAGTATTTCCAAAATTTCACGTGCTGCTCATTCCTCAACATCTACTTTTTTGGAAAAAAAATTTAAGTTATAGCATATCTAGAAAAATATGAGTATATGGGTGTATACAGACAGCAAATTCTAGGTACTTCATTAACAAATGAAGGGTGACTTGTCCCTGGGAGATCAGATCTCATGGACTGACATTCCATCTGTGCTCTGAAGTAGTTCATTCCTTCACTTGCTTAGTCAATCTTTAAAGTGCTCACGAGCACACATGATGTTCCTGTGCTGGAGACCTAGTTTGTGAATGAAGTCTGAGTTTAAGATTCCAGTCTAACGAAAGTGCCGCGAGATAGACGGTGTGTTAGATAAGAATCAGCAGGGGGCGCTCTAGAGTACAGAGGGGAAGTCTCAGCTCGCGCTGGAAGGTGGGAGTGGTCAGGTAAGTTGCAAGATTGCTGGATCACACCTGCCCTTGGCTTCCCCCCTGATCCCTTTAGGACCCTGTGAAGCAGCTCCAGCCGAGATGTGCGAGGAGGAGGACAGCACCGCCCTGGTGTGTGACAATGGCTCTGGGCTCTGTAAGGCCGGCTTTGCGGGGGATGATGCTCCCAGGGCTGTTTTCCCATCCATCGTGGGACGTCCTCGACATCAGGTGCGCAAAATTCTCTCTGAAGCAGAGAGAAACAAAGCCACATAGATCTGGTCCCTCTATGTCTCTGTGCCCATGGGTATTCATAGATTGTTGCTCTCTGCCCAGAAATTATGTAACTTTGTTAGAAATGTACCTCTGATGACTGATGTCCAGAGATAACTGCCAATTTCATATACATTCCTGGTGGGAGACTTTTTTTTTTCCATAAATACAGAAAGTCTGACTTTTTTTTCCCATAAATCCTTTTTGTCTAAATGTAACCATGGTCATCAGTATCAGAAATATTTATGGGTTATCTGATGTATTCCATAGCTACTCTATGTAAAGAAACTACAGTAAAAGATCAGGTTGCTCATTCTCAAAGAACCTAATGTGAAATGAAAATAAGCATTGTTACCTAATGTAATTTTACACCTGTTAGGTGTCAACGAAATACATGTGGATAGACATATGGTAATTGTATATAACATTATATAGAAAGAAAATATAGATGGCAGCCACTGGGTAAAAGGTGAGAGCTTCATCCCAGAAATTCTCCTTTCACATCAGAAATGTATTTTGCACACTGAGCCTATCTGATTGATAGTTAGGCTTTTGATTTGGCATCAGTTCACAAGAAGACATAATAGAAGCCTTCCCCAGTGAAAGAACTCTGTCTCTTTGTTAAACTTTTACAACCAAGATATTTTGCAAAAATCACTTCTTAAGGAACTATAGGAGCTCCACCTGTTTTGCAATTCTGTCACTCCAATGCAATTTTAAATTTAGTCATGAGGATTCTTTTTTTCTAAAGAGTCACATTAATGACTAAAAAAATGCATTCCACTAGTTTAGGCAGATAGCGTAATATTGATCAGTATGATTTTATCTATTAGAAACTGAGTGGTCATTTGTAGAAATAATGCTTTTGCTTATAATGGTTAGATATGCTCTTGAGTAGGTGACAATTCCAAACGTACAGTCTAAAGGATTCATGAGAGGCAAAATGCCATTTAACTAATGTGTAAATTTTGTATATCCATTCAACAAATAATGATGGAGTGCCAGATACAGGCCAGGAAATTTGTCATAGTGGCAAACAAGACAGATACCATCTTTGTCCTAAGAGAGCTCATGAAGGAACACAAAAGATAAATGACAAAGGCGCCTTACCCTCAAGGTTCTCAGCTATTTGTAGGCCTGTTCAGGCCTGTTTCAAATCACCTAAGGGATGTTTCCTAAGAGCTCTGTAACAGTAGGATCAGCAGGTCATGGCTGATACTGGAAGGACTTTCATTGCAATGATTTAACCCTTTGTGTCTGGACAGTAGTCAGTTCACAAGTTCTGAGAGAGGCTGACTTGTCATGTGTTGAACTTTTTAGGGGGTGATGGTGGGAATGGGACAGAAAGACAGCTACGTGGGCGATGAAGCACAGAGCAAAAGAGGAATCCTGACCCTGAAGTACCCGATAGAGCACGGCATCATCACCAACTGGGATGACATGGAGAAGGTACTGTGAGAGGCCTGAGTAATGCCTGTGGCCTGGGTCTCGAACGACTGGCTGCTGCTGGGGAAGAGAACAGGCTCACTGTGCCTGGTTGTGCTTTTACTTGGTGTTCCTTCTAGATCATTACTAACTGAATTTTAAAAATTCTGAACTTTGTGTATTTATTTTAAAAAGCAAATTTCTTGACGAAGAGGGTTTATAAACCAATTAGAGGCAGATGGGCTTCCCAGATGGCGCTAGTGGTGAAGAATCTGCCTGCCAGTGCAGGAGATGCAAGAGATTTGGGTTCATTCCCTGGGTAGGGAAGATCCCCTGGAGGAGGAAATGGCAACCCACTCCAGTATTCTTGCCTGGAGAATCTCACAGACAGAGAAACCTGATGGGCTACAGTCCATGGGGTTGAAGAGAGTCGGACACAACTGAGCGACTAAACACAGCAGAGAGGGAGCTAGCTCTAAAAATGAGCACAGTAGTCCTTTGACAGTGGTGGGAATTATAGTCTATTGCTCAGACAACTGGCTTGCCTCCATGGACAAGCACTGTATGGGCTGCAAACAGGAGAACAAGGGATGGAAGAGCTGGGAAGAGCCTTCACCCACTGCTTCTGAAAGTTTTTCATTAATTTACCCTGAACATTAAAAAAAAAGCTAGTTGTTCTTTTTTTTTTTTTTTTTTTTGCTTTTAGTTTTCTCTGTAGAAAAGGGGCTGTGACATTGTAAATTTGGTACATTCCTAAAATGTCCCTCAACTTAGGAAGCACAAGCAACCAATACAAATTTTTAAATAAACAGTTCAAAAAGCTATCTCCCTGAGTTGCATTAAGTTGAAGTCTTTCTCTCCCAGACCCATATAGAAGAGCTAATGAGAAGCGTTAAATCCAAGGGTTTTGATGTTTGCTCTCAAGCATCATGTAAACAAAGTGATCAAAGAAAAGGCAGAAGAAATAATGAGAAAGTGACTTATAATTTTTAAGTGCACCAAATATGTTAGAACCAGAAAATCTGGACTTTTATGTATCTGTCAGCTCCACACACACAGAGGCACACATACTCCCTCTCACGATTTTAAAAGAAACTAGTGTTGCTAGAATTTATCAGTGATAATGCTGAAACCTCTGCTGCTCTACAGAAAAATGTGTTTCATTATGTTTGCTGAGTCTAAGAGTCTGGATTTGGTTAAGACTGCAGTAGGCACTGAGGAGGAGATAATAATAGTGATGAGAAAATTTGCTTTTAAGACTTTCTCCATGGAGCTGGCAGCATCACAGAAGGGATACACCTGGAGAAAAACAAATGAAGCATACTGTCATTTCTAAAATGTAAAGTGTCTTCTGGAGAGAGAGAGAGAAGAAGAGAGACAGCGTGGGGAGAGATAGAGATTGGTTGGTTTCTAATGATGTTTTAGAGTATCCATGGTATATAATAAGATTGGCAGCACTTCTTTTCTTTCTTTTTTTTTTGATTTCCTGAGCACTGTGCCGCTTTTACTCCATCAAAGGAATAGGACTTTCAGGAGTTTCATTTCCTTTCTAGAAACCGCAAATTCAAAACCAAAGAAACTGCAACAAGATAAAGAATCTTTAAAGTCAATCTAGCTTTTGTTAATGTACAGACTTTCACTAGCAGTTCTTGTTTTTATTTTGTTTTAATTCTGAATGAATTTAATATTTCAGGCACTAGCCAAGAATTTGGGGGCTTTTAAAAATAATTAATCAACTGAACTCTTTTCACAATGGTTTGTTCTTTATGGCATCCAGGGTTAAAAAGGATGCTTACAGAGAATTCTACTCAATATTCTACAATAACCTATATGGGAAAAGAGTTTGAAAAAAAAAATATATATATGTATAACTGAATCACTTATCTATACACCTGAAACTAACACAATATTGTAAATTGATTATACTCCAATATAAAATAAAAATTAAATTACAAAAAGAAACAGCTCAAAAAATAAAAATAAAGAGCATGCTTAACCATGAAGCAAACACAGCATGTTCAAAGTACATCATGCTAGAAACAGGCACTGGCTTTTTGGGAAAACACCTGAAGGCCAAGGTCTGTCCATGAATGAAAGGTCCAGTGTGTGCCAGGCAAGGTAAGCTTCTTTCAACCCTGGGGAGCAAAGAGAGGAATGAAGGGGTGGAAAAATTCCCTTAAATATTAAAAGTAACCATTAGGTTTTCAGATCTGCTTCATTCATCCAGTCACATATTCATTCATTTGTCCTTTTACTTGCTACACTAAGTCATTTGCCCTTGAATACTGATTAAAGTGGGGGCTTCCCTGTGGCTCAGCAGTAAAGCTCCTGCCTGCAAAGCAGGAGACACAAGGGACATGGGTTTGATCCCTGACTCAGGCAGGTCCCCTGGAGGAGGAAATGGAAACCCACTCCAGTATTCTTGCCAGGAAAATCCTGTGGATAGAGGAGCCTCATGGGCTACAGTCCACGGGCTTGCAAAGGGTTGGACATGACTTAGTGAGCACCAGTGGGTAAAGAAGATATAGTTGAATAATGGCAACATCTGCTCTGGGCCAGGCACTGGGCTAAATAGTAACTCTAGGGTTCCCTGATTTAAGTCTCACAAAGACATGAATTATTTTTATATTCCCCATGGACAAATGGTTGCCAAGAAGGGTTAAAATTTGCCTACACTCATATTACCAAGAAGTGCTTAAGCCGGGATTTGAACCCAGGTTTCACTGCAGAGCCTATGTCCTTAACCACTACCCTACCCCGCCTCGTAGACCTGGGTTTGGGTTTTCGCTCATCCACTTACGAGGTGTGAATTCTCAGGTAAGTTCCCTGTAGTCTTTAAGCCTGAGTCTCTGCATGTGTGAAAACGTGGACACATACTGAGCACTTGTGTTTGGGCCTGGTTTCTCGTGCTCACTCTGGTCCCTTCCTGAGGACGGCCGTGCCCCTGCCGCGTCTCACGGTCGTGCTTTTCCTCGGCCCCCTAGATCTGGCACCACTCTTTCTACAATGAGCTTCGTGTTGCACCTGAAGAGCATCCAACCCTGCTCACCGAGGCACCCCTGAACCCCAAGGCCAACCGGGAGAAAATGACCCAGGTAAATACCACTCTGGGACCCAGCGCTTTGGGGCTTGGAGGAAGTCCTTGAAGGGGGTTGTACAGAATAGCAGATAAAAGGCCCACCCAACAGTCCGCTCACAGGCTGACAACTTTCCTGGATTCCCAAGGCCACAGGCATCAGACATCCTTACAGGAATGGCCCCTTGACTCCAAGAGCAATAGGAAATTTTCCAGATTTAACTGAAAAGGCCACATGTTTAGTTTTAAAACGTCTAAGGAGAAGTCACTTCAAAATGCAGGATAACAAACAATGGGGAATTTTGGTCCTAGAGTCAGATCCCAGTTTGAAAATTCGATCTGTCACTTATCAGCTGTGTGACTTTAAAAGAGCCACTTAATTTTCATAGACTCAGTTTCCTTGTCCATATATTGAGAATAATATTAGTACTATTATTTTTCAAGTGATTTGACGATTAACGAGACAAATGCTAAATGTGTTTCATGGTACCTGGTATGATAAACACTAAACAGGTATTTATTATTATCTTTATTGTGACTTTCTGAAGCTCAGAGATTTTGGAACAGGAGACCATCTATTCCATCATCCAGACAAAGTTTCCAGTTTGGATGAGCAGCTTAATAAATACACCTAGTGTCAACTTCATGCTTTTTATGGTTAAGCAGTGGGCTAAGAATTTTATACAGATTGTCTCTTTAAATCTTAACTTAAAGCATGAGCTATTATTATCCTAATAATATAAATGAAGGCTTCCCTGGTGGCTCAGTTGGTAAAGAGTCTTGCCAGCAATTCAGGAGACCCAAGTTCTATTCCTGGGTCAGGAAGATCCCCTGGGGAAGGAAATAGTAACCCACTCCAGTATTCTTGCCTGGAAAATCCCATGGACAAAGGAGCCTGGTGGACTATACTCCATGGGGTTGTAAGAGTCAGACTTAGCAACTAAACCACTGCCAATATAAATGAAGAATTTGAGACTCAAGTACATTAGGTGATGGTCCCAAGGTCACACAGCTAGAAGTGTCAGAGCTTGAATTTGGCCCACAATCTTTTGACCTCAGAGAATAATAAACATAAATACTACAGAGCCTTTTTCTTGGAAGAGCTCTGGATGGCTCATCAACACACTAGCAGCTGTTCCTGCAGGGGAACATCTGAGTGTCTGGAAAGGACTTATGACCCAAGAGATGCTGTTTCTTAAGGGAGCTTTTTTCCCAGTGAACGGTAGAAATGAATAGGTGGGAATTATGGCTGTCTAGCAAACTATGCTAGATGTTCACTCTGGTTAAATAGACCAGAGAGGGTTTTGCAGATGGAGATACGGAGGCCTATGGGCATCTCTGTGGGCATACATTTCTAACAGGTGACCTGGAAGGGCTCTGGTGCTAACTATGCTCTGGGTGGCATGAACTGCCACATCAACATTCATATTTGGTTCTCTGTTACCATCAGGCAGTCCTTTTCTTCAGCAATCAGCACTCCTTCACTGCTGCTAGAATGGCCTCAGACTCTAGGGCTGACATTGACCCAGCAACTACAGAAAAAAGTTGAACAGATTAAATGGAATTTCAGACAGACCACAGAACGGGGTTCATCTCAACCAGTCTGAGCTTCAGTGGTTTAGGCTCAGTGCTTTCACTGTTCAGGGCCTGGGTTCGATCCCTGGTTGGGGAACAAAGATCCCGCAGGCCGCCCACATTAGTCAGTTGTCAGTTTGGTGAATTCTCCAGGTCACGTTCAAGTCAGGGCCAGGACCAGAAACTAGAGCCTCCTTATACCTGGCTGGTCATGTGTGCACACCGTCCCTCCCCCCACCCCATGACACCAGGTCACGGTATGGTGTTCTCGCCATTCACACCTTCCTTTCTCCTCGACCAGTAACCAAGGCTTCTCTGACCTCCTTGGCCTTAGTTTCCTCTACCCAGAACCAGGCCGGCCCATCTGCAGGCATCAGCAAGATGCTCTCTTGTGCATTCTTGGTGATACTGGCAGGATCATTAACTCATCTCTTTGGCTTGCTTTGCAGATTATGTTTGAGACTTTCAATGTCCCAGCCATGTATGTGGCTATTCAGGCGGTGCTGTCCCTCTATGCCTCTGGACGTACAACTGGTAGGTGGCCGGGCAGGGTGAAAGCCCTGGTTGGATACACCATCAGTTACAGGACTGAATGGTTTATGAACACGTGTGTCGTGATGGACTGGGGGTTATTTAGAATTGACAGAGTTAATTCCCGCCTCTTGAGGGTTTCTTCTCACCTTTAAAAATAAGCCCTTTAACTTGTATTTCCAGGAGGACTTCTATTGTTTCCCTCTTCCTGTTCTTTTTTTTTCTTCCTTTTCTTTTCCTAGCCCTGCCTCAACTCTCTTTTCCTATCAAATGCCTTCCTTCCTTTCAAATGAAAGGCTTAGAAATTCCCCTTCGACTAGACCAGTAAGTGATCATACACCAGTTCTGCTGGTTGACTTTTATCCTGCACAACTGTCCCCCAGGCATTGTGCTGGACTCTGGAGACGGTGTCACCCACAACGTGCCCATCTATGAGGGCTACGCCCTGCCCCACGCCATCATGCGTCTGGACCTGGCTGGCCGAGATCTCACCGACTACCTCATGAAGATCCTGACCGAGCGAGGCTATTCCTTCGTGACCACCGGTGAGGCCTGAGGGACAGAAAGGGAGGGGGCATAGGGGCGGGGTGTTCTTCCCTGACGTGGTGACTATCCGAGGAAACTATGGGAGGGAGCCTTGCAGGTGGGGAGACCTGACTCTAATGCCCAGGGCAAAGCTCTGAGTATTTTGCCATGTGTAATTGCAAAACGATTACACCATTTCCTGGAGAAGAACAGTTTTAACCATCAGGTATTATGAGCTAGTCAGAGTTGCAGTATTTGAACATTTTTTAATCCCTTCCATTCACATATAGAGACTGAAAATAAGGGAGGAATTGGGAGATTGAGATCAACATATATACACTACTGATCCTGTGTGGAAAGTAGATAGCTAATGAGAACCTGCTCTATAGCACAGGGAACTCTACTTGATGCTCCACCGTGACCTGAATAGGAAGGAAATCCAAAGAAAAAGAGGGGATTATATGTGTACGTATAGCAGAAACACTTTGCTGTGCAGTGGAAATGAGTACAACATTGTAAACAATTATATTCCAAAAAAATTAATTTATAAAGAGCCTGAAAATAGTGTGGCATGGTGATTGGCAGTCTTTGGAGACATCTTGACAGGGCTCGGGTCCCAGTTCTGCCACTCACTAGCTGTGCGACCTTAGACTAGATTCCCACGTCCACTAAGCCATAGGCTCTCCATCTGTAAAATGGGAGTGATCATTGACTCTTTCTCACAAGGATGCCGGGAGTAGTAAATGAGATCATGCACGTGGAATTCCTGGTCCTGAGGAAGCATGAGATACTTGTTAGGGATTAGTAATACCAACCCAGCAGACAACGGCATGTTTGTCTTCCGACTAAACTAGCGGCCTTGGTCTCTCTCTATGAGAGGCAGAGGCAGACAGTACTAGAGACATCAGGACGACTTCAGTGCCCTGGCTGCCTGCCCTTCCCTCACCAATTTGCTCTTGTCCAAATGTTCAGGTTTCTGGACCTGCCCAAGACTTATCCTAGACTCTAAATTTGAGCCCTGATGATTTAAAAATCTCCTTCTGGGATAGAGAGTTGAATGAATTCTGACCCTTCTCTGCCCACTCTGAGGAATTCCAAGATGCCTCCAAAAAGTTCCCAGGGGCCTGGATAAAACCAATAGTTTAGAACTTCAGAGGACAGGAGTCAGAAAGGGGTCTGCCCACCCACTTCTTCCATGCACCACTGGGACCTTCTCTACCAGGACTGGTCCTGGGCCTCTTTCTGGAAGCAGATGAGATTTCCAAGGACTTGAGTTGGAATCCACCTGGGTCAGACAACATGGGTCTTCAGAGCTTTTTAAAACTGTAGGTGCTTCTAAGGGACTGTTTTGGCATGAATCTTCCTGGTCAACTGAAAATAATAAACTGTTGTATAGCACGTATAACAGAAAGTCATTAATTTATCATGCAAAAAAGTTAACGTCCAAAAGGATTCCTGCTCTTTGTCTGTCGCTAGCCAGCTCATTTTCATCCTGTCATGCACTGTCCGGACATTATCTGCTTAGAAGTTTCTCTGTGTGAAGCACTTTGCTGGGAACAGAAGTGGTTCCCTAGTGGACCTATAATTTAATTGTCCTCATGGATTTGGGGTTGCAGAATAGAATATACACTTTCAGGGAGAAACCTGTATTGTAAGACAGTAGGGCAGGTGGATATTTACCATCTGTGCAAATCTCAAGGTTGGCCACCATATTTCTATCTCATTGACAGCTGAGCGTGAGATTGTCCGGGACATCAAGGAGAAACTGTGCTACGTAGCCCTGGACTTTGAGAATGAGATGGCCACCGCCGCATCCTCCTCCTCCCTCGAGAAGAGCTATGAGCTGCCTGATGGGCAGGTGATCACCATCGGGAATGAGCGTTTCCGCTGCCCCGAGACCCTGTTCCAGCCCTCATTCATCGGTAGGCAGCACACCCAGGGAGAGCCTCCTCCTCTCCTTCCACCAGCCGGTCTCAGCCCCCAGCACCCTTCTGCGTGTGGCAACATGTGGCAGGGGCCAAAAAGCCAAGGGCACCTCTGAGCCAGGGCAAGGGAAAGAATGTCACGTTTTTAAAGTGAGAAGACATCAAGAAGCCATGAAAGGAGTTTTCTTCTTAAGAAAACATCATCCAGGTTGTAGTCTAGCTGAAGCATTCTTGGTGTACAGTTTATGGTGAAAGAATCAGATACTGTCCATGCTTAGGAGACAGTAGAGCCACCGGAAGGATGAGTCTGGAAATAACAGGGGAAAAGAAAAATGGAAATGTCCATTCCTATTAGCATTGACCTTGGGAGACAGGTTAGCATAGTTGTTTATAAAGAGGTGAGCCTGGGTGTGAATCTTAGTTCTCCTTTCATAATTTTGCCTCCTGGAGCCTCATCTGTAAAATGTCCTCATTTGTAAAATGTGTCCTCATCTTTAAAATGAGATGTGTGTGGGGGTGGGGTCACTAAGTGCCCTCAATGCTGATTAGATATTCAGTTCAGTTCAGTTCAGTTCCTCAGTCGTGTCCGACTCTTTGCGACCACATGGACCGTAGCACGCCAGGCCTCCCTTTCCATCACCAACTTCCGGAGTTTACCCAGACTCATACTGGCAGTAATCAATTACTAAGCATGATTAGTATTATATCATAAAACTATAAAAGATGAAGAGCCATCTTGAGGTTCTTTTCAAAAGACCCATGTCAGAAATTAACAAGAAATTAAGACAAAAAAATATTATCAAGATTGAAGAAAAACGAGGCTTTGTCCAAATAAAGTGAAACATATTTCGAATGTTCCAGCACCATTTAGCTTCGAGGGGTGAGAACAAGACAGCAGCCAAGGAGAGATTTAGGAGTTCTGAGCAACAGCTGTGGCATTAGCTCAGCCTGGGACCTTCTCAAGGTTTTGGGAATTTGAAGGCTTTGCTTTTTATTTGAGTCACTTATAGTAGTGAGTCTATTAAGGCTTAGGACTGTGATATTGTAGCCTCTCACCCTTCCAGAGATGCCAAAGCAGGGCTTCCTCCCTAGACAAATGGTAGGAGGCCATGGGGCATTTCAAGGGCCTTTCAGTCCTGAGATGGGGGCTCCTAGACCACTGAGCCTGCCAAGCTGTGGTCCAGTGCAAGATCATCCAGTTGCTCATATTGTCTTCCATGTCAGCCTGGGTTTTCTTTATCACCCAAGGACAACAACCTGTGTCTCTTTTCCAGGGATGGAGTCTGCTGGCATCCATGAGACCACATACAACAGCATCATGAAGTGTGATATTGATATCAGGAAGGACCTCTATGCTAACAACGTCCTCTCTGGGGGTACCACCATGTACCCCGGCATTGCTGACCGCATGCAGAAAGAGATCACGGCCCTGGCCCCCAGCACCATGAAGATCAAGGTAAAGTTCTGTGATAGACCCTTATATGCTGCTGGCAATGCCAAGCTTATAACCAGAAGTGAAGGATTCTTCAGAGGCTACATCTTGATTGCATACACTTATGCGTCTTAGAGCTAGGCAGTGGGTAAAAGTCCTCAAGTATCATACTTTTAAGGGTCTAAGTCAGTTCCATTCATAGAGGAGTTGAATTATCTTGTACAAAGTTTAATCAATACTTATCCATGTCAGTCAGCTACTTTCAGTGGATGCAGGAAAAGGTCATTAGAGTCACTCATGTTCCCATATCTCATTGAAATACACAATACGTTTGTTTTTCCTCATCATGAAAGTAGTGCATCTCATGTATAGAACATTATAAACATTACAGATGAGCCAGACCTTTCTAAACAGGTATAAATTCTGTTTAGAATTCAGTAGTATACTCTTCTTTCAGTACTAAATGTGATTCCATCTCAGCAGCCAGGAATTGGAACTTTATCTTCATCTCTCTTTCTGATGCACCTTTTGAAACAAGTGCTCCAAAGTGCAGCATGACCCCAGGATGGCCAAACTCACTCCCAGAGCCAGCAGGACCCCTACGTTGTGTGCATTTTGAGTCAGTCAGAGGAACTCAGATTAAAAGGCTATCATTCTTTGGAGGCAAGCTAACATGTGGCTGGTGACTTCGCAAAGGCTACTGTTACTCTGAAATCAGGAGGCCAGGCTGGGACCCTCTGATCCATGTCCCAGGGAGCAGGAGAAAGGGCACTCAGGGTGCAGTTCATACACACGAGAGGCATTCAGACAAGTTCTCTGTTATTTGCACTCCCGTCTCTTTTTTTATGGAAAGAGTCTGCAGCTAACATAACAGGGTGTGCTAGACTGAAGCACACTCTCTCTCCACATCATAGGCGAGGAAGGACTGTGGAGTGAGAGGCTGTTTTCTGAGGATGTGTGTTTCTCGGATGATAGACACTCAGCCAGAGTTGGGTAGTTTCTAGTTCTCCAATCTTGGAGTTTTGAATAGAAATAAGAGTAGGATTTTGAGCTCCAGTGTGGTGAGAGCAAACCATTGAAAACCTGGGACAGTAAGATGATTACATTATGAGAAATTGAAACTGAATGGGGTTGGGGGTGGTCTGTAGGGATTCTGTACTGTCTGTACCACTTGTATGTAAATCTAAAAGTATCTAAAACTGAAAGGTTATTTCCAAAACAAAACAGAAAGAAAAAACACCTGAGAGAGGTCCAGGTTTGCATATTGGGTCTGACATGTGTGTGTCATGTGTGTGTGTGTGACCAAGGTCAATTACTTAAACCTCACTCAGTCTGTTTCCTAATTTAGAATATGGGATGGATTCAGTGCTTACTCTTCAAAGTGGTTATGAAGATTAAATGAGATAGTACATGTAAAATGCTGGGCAAATTGCTTGGCAGATAAGTGCTCAGTAAATATCAGCTACTTGTATTAAAAATAAATGTTCAACCAGAGCTCAAGGAATAAAGAGAAATTAAACCCTTTCACCACAGTTTCAGAAATATCTTATCTATTGGCCAAGTGTCCATATTTATTTCTACCTAATAGGGTATCCAAATCTGATGTGGAATTTAGACTTACTCAACTCTAGCTCTTTTTAGACCGAGAGAGCAGAGGTCAAAGTAGACGTACCCTTGTTATGAATCACTGCTCTCTGGGCCTAAACCATTCATTGATTTAAGAAACATCAACATGTCCTTGCGTGCCAGGCCCGTTCATGCAGGTAGGGCCAGCCAATGCAAGCTTAGCTGAGACCTATTCCAGGGGTATCTTCATCCCAGCAATGGACCCCTCAGTGTTAAACACTGCATCTTGGTAGACTTAATCAGGTCTTACAGTAAGTTCCTTTATGGTCAGAAATTCTGACCCAGTTAAAAGTTCCCCTTGAAGTTGCTGGTGTTTGTGTCCACAGAGTGTATGTGTTGCGCTGAGCTCTGAAGAACAGCTGATAGGAATCAGGGACAATGTCAGGGCTTATGTGGAGGTTGTGTAGAATTGGGGGCCAACTTTCCATTTGCCTGATGGTAGACTGAATGAAGCTGAAGTGTCAGAAGTTTTGGAGTAGATTGTTTAACAGCAGTCCCCAACCTTTTTGGCATCAGGGACCGGTTTCGTGGAAGACAATTTTTTCCACAGACCGGGGGTCAGGGGATGGTTTCGGGATGATTCAAGTGCATTTCATTTATTGTGTGCTTTATTTCTGCTGTTATTACATTAGCTCCACCTCAGATCATCAGGCATTAGATCCCGAGGGTTAGTGACCCCCTGGTATAAAAGGAAGCTGGGAAACCAAAGGTGCTCATTGAGGAATCTCTAAATCCACAACTATTCACACCCCATGGGTTAGGGTTCAATTTCAGCATCTAAGAGCCAAGACTGTCCCCAAGGCCCATGAAAGTTCAGCCGGGGCCACAAATCCTGACCATGCTGGAATCCCCAATCCCCCTCCTAGTGCACTAATGGCCCTTTCTCATCCTGACCAACAGATCATCGCCCCTCCCGAGCGCAAATACTCTGTCTGGATTGGCGGCTCCATCCTGGCCTCCCTGTCCACCTTCCAGCAGATGTGGATCAGCAAGCAGGAATACGATGAGGCCGGGCCATCCATCGTCCACCGCAAATGTTTCTAAGGCGCGGCCCTGCTCTCTGTCTGTCTCCATGCGCACTGTGAATGTTCTGTGGAGTAATGCCTTCAATTCTTTTCCAAATCATCCCTAGCCCGAGCTCTGACTCGCTACCTATGTGTTTTTTAATAAATCTGAGACATGTTACCTGTAATCTGTAGCCTTGGCTTCGGATCAGCATCAGGCTGATCACGTGGTTTTTGTTAGCTGGACCTCACCTGTTATGGAGTGGCTCCCTCTAGTGGTGCATCTGGGGACACGACAACCAGGGTGTGTAAGTTTCCCAGGAAAGACTACAATTACATTAAGGTGGGAAGTGCCAAATAATGCTGTACCTGGGGAAAATTTGAAGATACACAGGAGATAAACATAAACATGGATTAAAGTGTATCAATAGGACAGTGCATACTGACTTCAAAACCTGCTGAGTCATATAACTTTGCTGTCTATAACCACCTGACTGATAGCCTGTGTACACATACATATATATATTATACATATACATAAATTTTTATATATGAAATATTAAACTTAGATATATTTTAAATAGTGTGACTGTATTTAGTGTAAATATATTTTAAATATATTTTTAAAAGTGTGACTTTTAAGTTTACCAGGGGAAATACAGATTTTTAAAAAACAGAAACACCGCTAAAATCTCACTACACATCTAAAGCATCTGTTTCCCTTCTCCTGATCTATACCTGTCTCTGAAAATGATACTACAGATACATTTAGGCCAGAAGGGATGGGAAAAATAACCATACTTTGCAAGCACTACTGGTGTCAATCATTACACTAAGGGGTTTACACATATCTCCACTCACTTGCTCTTCAGAACTCTTTGGGGAAAATATTATCATGCCCATTTTATTTTATTTTGACGTTAATTTTTTATTGAAGTATAGTTGATTTACAATGTGTTAGTTTCAGGTGTACGTCAAAGTGATTCTATTATGTACACAAATGTATCTATTCTTTTCCAGATTCTTTTCCTTTATAGGTTATTACAAAATATTGAGTATAGTTCCTTCCAAGTAGGTCCTTGTTGGTTATCTATTTTAGATGTAGCAGTGTGTGTGTGTTAATCCTAAACATTTTATAGAGAGAAAAACAGCAGGTGTTCCCTTAATATGAAATTATATAGGAGAGCTGCCAACTTCTCTTTTACCCATCTGACCCAAGAGGTACAAAGACGTATAAAAGTATTTCCCTGCCCTTAAGTATCTTGTCCCAACGCGCTTTTCTTCCCAGGCTGTTTGACACCCACGGAGCTCCCCAGTTCAGTGCCGCTTGCCCTCCTGGGGGCAGCTGCCACTCGTCTTTGGGAATGAGGGAGGAGTGGGTCTCCATCCATGGCAGCATCTCACTACAGAGAACTCAGAGCCAAAGATTGAATGCCTTTTTGATCCAGAAAATCCCCTGGTCTTCTCTGCCCTATAGCTTGACCTAATTAAATCAATACTACAAATAATAAGAGCTGGCATGTGCTGGGTCCCTGTCATTACCAGATCCTGCCAAGCCCTTTATATTAGGATCTCATTTTATCCTGCACAGATCTATGGAGTAGATATTCTCACTGTCTTCTTACGGATGGAACAATCCAATGTCATACTACAGGCAGAGACGGGACTTGGGTTTGGTTCCAAATCTATACTCTTAGTATTTAAGCCAGCATTTCTCAAAGAACTGTTCACACAGGTCAGCCTCCTCGGAGGCTCATCTTTTAAAAGATAATTAATTATGTATTTATTTTTGGCTGTCCTGGGTCTTCGTTGCTGCATGGGCTTTTCTCTAGTTGAAGCAAGCAGGCTTCTCATTGCTGTGGCTTCTCTTGTGCCAATCCTGACTGTGAAACTGGCAGACAGATTCTTTACCGCTGAGCCGCCAGGGAAACCGCAGAGGGCTCATTTTAAATGGGCCGACTTCTGGGAAACCCAAAGCCTGCAGAACAAGGACGTCTGGAGCTGTGGTTGGGAACTTGAGCTTTAATCAGATTTCCCTGGTGATTCTTTCGCACATCAAAACTTGAGAACCACTGTAAAATGCTAGGATTGAAATATTCCAGTTGTAAATTTATGCTTACCAGGAAAGGCACTTCATACCCACCAAATTGGAACTTAACGGTTAATATACAGATATTTGGAAACAGATCACAGTCATAATTGAGGCAAAAATCACCAACCATTTCATAGTCCTTGCGGGGTTCAGGTAAAGTGAACCGTTGACTGTACTGTTGTACTTCATATTCACCACCAGAAGGCGCAAGCTCTCTGCTAAAGGCAAGGGCGTCTAGAACAAAGTATCTAGAAACTGGCGTGGCCAGAGGTAAAAATCAGGAAAACCAGAACCACCCGCTGAATGTGCATTAGTGAAATGTTCTTTCTATATGAGCACCCCGAGGCAGTGCCTAAGCCCCTTCTTCCAGTCGTAGATTAGTAATTCCTCCCTTTGATTCCGCAGATGCTAATGACGTGAAGGGCTGGACAGGTGAGAGTCCCTTGTTGAGCCTCACGTGAATCTGCAGAGGAGGGAAACCGAGCAACAGACAGGCTCGGCTGCCTCCTGAGTTCTCTTCTCTCCCCAAACTCTAACCCTCCTTCCACGACCACAGATTTTCCCACAACAGGCTTATATAGCCATTGGGGAGGACCTGGATTTTTAGTAACATTTACTCACATCATGCAAGCTTTGCTGTCAGCATATGAGCAAGAGAAAACATTATTTTTGAAAAACAAATAATTCTGTTATTTCTGAAGCATCATTTGTGTAGTCAGGCTGAGCTTGAGTGTTTTTTAGCAGGATTTCAAACAAAGAACATTCTGGAAGAGAAGTTGTGATTACTGCAATGGAGGGGGCTCTCTGGGCTAACACTATCTGCAACTAAGCTTATTCAAAAAGATAGGACAAAAAAGGAGAGAGAGAAAAGGGGATGGGAAACCTCGGGAGATGGTTCTTCTGCATCAAAATATGAAAACCAGATGGTTGTTTCATTCCTAGGAGAGCCAAGTCTATTCAGGTAGTGTTGGAAGGGCACATGCTGGAGACACAAAGAGCAAGTTTCTGCCTGGATGGAACTTACAATCTATGGAGGAAATGGACATGAAGCAAGTAGCGAAGGTGCATCGTGAGGATCACAAAGGTGGAAACACATGGGGTATGGGCTCTTATGACTTCAGGAGGTAGGGCTTCAGCAGAGGGTTAAACAGCAAAAGTTAACTAGAATAAAAGGAGCGGGGATGAGAGGGTTGAGGCTGGACAAGAGGAAGTTGAGTGTACAGAGAATGTTCCAGGCACAGGCAAGAGATGGGAGAGGATGCTGCATATGTAGAGAAAGAAGGCAAAGAACTGAACCTACATACAGACTTTAGAAGTCCATGCTGTGTGCTTAGTCGCTCAGTCGTGTCCGACTCTTTGCCACGCCATGGACTGTAGCTTGCCAGGCCCTTCTGTCCATGGGGATTCTTCAGGCAAGAATACTGGAGTGGGTTGCCATTTCCTTCTCCAGGGATCTTTCAGACACAGGGATCCAACCTGCATCTCCTGCATTGGCAGGTGGATTCTTTTCTACAGATGAGACTCTGCAATAAAAATTTTACAATAAGCAATTCAGGAAAAATTTAACTTTGCTTTTATTTTGTTCTTTTTTTATACATCTACCTGATGGTTATAATAAAAGGACCTAGAGCACAGATAATATCTTAGTGGATCCCAAAATCTAGTGCTGTGTCTTTTAACAATTAATCCCTGCCATGAAATTAAAAGCCACTTGCTCCTTGGAAGAATGTGCTTGTACGCTCAGTCACTCAGTCATGTTCGGCTCTTTGTGACCCCATGGATTGTAGCCCCCAGGCTCCTCGGTCCATGAGAATTCTCCAGGCAAGAATACTGGAGTGGGTTGCCATGCCCTCCTCTAGGACATCTTCCCAACCCAGGGACTGAACTGCAGGCAGATTCTTTACCATCTGAGCTACCAGGGAGTACAATTTTCCAAAGTAAAGTTCATAACATTTTCTCTATGATATGTCTGTCTTGAAATTAGACACTGAATACAAGCAGTTAAGGCAAGGTTGAAGTGAGAGCTTTGGTATCTGTGATTTATTTCCCATTCCTGAGCATTTCCTCTTACAGGTTAATTCAATTCATTTCTATTTCAGAAATGTATCTGGGAAATGAACACACTAATACCATCACCTCACTCTAATTTATTCCTGATGACTTTAGCTATTCCAGGCTGTTCTTCTTATGGTAACTTCATGAGACAGAGGGAATAGAAATGATTACCACTTACCTGCTTGTTCTTGTAACATGTTGTCTTCAAGGAAAACAGATGTTGAAAAAGGCTCCTCTGTAGGGTAGTTAAAGACAGTTTTCAGTGGCCTAACACTCAGGGGTCCTTAGGCAGGTTTTCCATCATTGGAGAAAAAGCATTGTTGTTTAGTCACTCGGTCGTATCTGACTCTTTGTGAGCCTGTGGACGCAGCACGCCAGGCTTCCTCGTCCTTCACTATCTCCCAGAGTTTGCTCAAACTCATGTCCACTGAGTCACTGAGTCACGTTGTAAAAAAGCACTGCAGTCACACCAAAAGAGGTCCTTTTCATATTTTATATTCTTCTATTTCTTTCCCTCCACATGCAGTTTTGAACCTTATTCCTTGGTCCTTTCATTGAATCCCTTCTCTCCACCCCCCTCGACCACTGCTTTCAATTTTGCATCTGCTACAACAAAACACCATAAGAAATGGCCTAAAATCACTTACTTCAACCTTCCTGTATGAAGTGGCTTCACCTACTCAGACCAAAATACATTAAGCAGGTGAATCATATCCTCCAACTTTACAACCAGCCCTCATTCTTAAAAGCAGAAGAAGTTATGATTTCAGATGGATGCTCTGATGTAATCTTCTCCTTTGTGAATGTATGTGAAAGTGAAAGTGGTAGTCACTCAGTTGTGTCTGACTCTTTATGACCCCCGGGGCTGTAGCCCACCAGGCTCCTCTGTCCAT